AAAAAACTCTATTATAGAGACAATTTATAGGCTAGGTGGCATGGTGTGAGAAAGCTTCTGAAAGGCTGGCAGATAAAAAAATATGCTAGAAAATTCATTTTCACCCCCAAGGAAATGATTCCCCAAAATCAGTTGTATCTCAAAAAAATACTCTATTATAGAGACAATTTATAGGCTAGGTGGCATGGTGTAAGAAAGCTTCTGAAAGGCTGGCAGATAAAAAAATATGATAGAAAAATCATTTTCACCCCCAAGGAAATGATTCCCCAAAATCAGTTGTACCTCAAAAAAATACTCTATTATAGAGAAAATTTATAGGCAAGGTCGCATGGTGCGAGAAAGCTTCTGAAAGGCTAGCAGATAAAAAATATGCTAAAAAAATTCATTTTCACCCCCAAGGAAATGATTCCCCAAAATCAGTTGTACCTCAAAAAAATACTCTATTATAGAGACAAATTATAGGCTAGGTGGCATGGTGTGAGTAAGCTTCTGAAAGGCTGGCAGATAAAAATATGCTAAAAAAATTAATTTTCACCCCCAAAGAAATGATTCCCCAAAATCACTTGTACCTCAAACAAATACTCCATTATAGAGACAATCTATAGGCTAGGTGGCATGATGTGAGAAAGCTTCTGAAAGGCTGGCAGATAAAAAAATATGCAAAAAAATTCATTTTCACCCCCAAGGAAATGATTCCCCAAAATCAGTTGTACCTCAAAAAAATACTCTATTATAGAGACAATTTATAGGCTGGGTCGCATGGTGTGAGAAAGCTTCTGAAAGGCTGGCAGATGAAAAAATATGCTAAAAAATTCATTTTCACCCCCAAGGAAATGATTCCCCAAAATCAGTTATACCTCAAAAAAAAACTCTATTATAGAGACAATTTATAGGCTAGGTGGCATGGTGTGTGAAAGCTTCTGAAAGGCTGGCAGATAAAAAATATGCTAAAAAAATTCATTTTCACCCCCAAGGAAATGATTCCCCAAAATCACTTGTACCTCAAAAAAAATACTCCATTATAGAGACAATTTATAGGCTGGGTGGCATGGTGTGAGAAAGCTTCTGAAAGGCTGGCAAATAAAAAATATGCTAAAAAAATTCATTTTCACCCCCAAGGAAATGATTCCCCAAAATCAGTTGTACCTCAAAAAATACTCTATTATAGAGACTATTTATAGGCTAGGCGGCATGATGTGAGAAAGCTTCTGAAAGGCTGGCAGATAAAAAATATGCTAAAAAAACTCATTTTCACCCCCAAGGAAATGATTCCCCAAAATCAGTTGTACCTCAAAAAAATACTCTATTATAGAGACAATTTATAGGCTGGGTCGCATGGTGTGAGAAAGCTTCTGAAAGGCTGGCAGATAGAAAATATGCTAAAAAAATTCATTTTCATCCCCAAGGAGATGATTCCAAAAAATCAGTTGTACCTCAAAAAAATACTCTATTATAGAGACAATTTATAGGCTAGGTGGCATGGTGTGAGAAAGCTTCTGAAAGGCTGGCAGATAAAAAATATGCTAAAGAAATTCATTTTCACCCCAAGGAAAGGCTAGGTGGCATGATGTGAGAAAGCTTCTGAAAGAAAGAAGAAAAATATAGACGTAAACGAGAAAATGCGTAATAAAATATTTGACCTCTGCAGAGCCAACTAACTAAATGCTTCACCTAAATATAATAAGTTTCCATTAATATATACATTTGCCTGCCCCGTCTTTAGTAGATACCATATAGCGTGATCTGGTCCACTAATTTCAGAAATTTTGGGCCATGTCGCATTCTGGGGAATTATTTCCTTGGAGGTGAACATGAATTCTTACTTATTTTTCTTATCTGCTATCTCTCCTTGTGGTCTAGCCTACAAATTGTCTCTATAATAGAGTATTTTTTTGAGGTACTACTGATTTTGGGGAATCATTTCCTTGGGGTGAAAATTAATTTTTTTGCATATCTTTTTATCTGCCAGCCTTTCAGAAGCTTTCTCACACCATGCCACCTAGCCTATAAATTGTCTCTATAATAGAGTATTTTTTTGAGGTACAACTGATTTTGGGGAATCATTTCCTTGGGGGTGAAAATGAATTTTTTAGCATATTTTTTTATCTGCCAGCCTTTCAGAAGCTTTCTCACATCATGCCACCTAGCCTATAAATAGTCTCTATAATAGAGTATTTTTTTGAGGTACAACTGATTTTGGGGAATCATTTCCTTGGGGGTGAAAACGAATTTTTTTAGCATATTTTTTATCTGCCAGCCTTTCAGAAGCTTTCTCACACCATGCCACCTAGCCTATAAATTGTCTCTGTAATAGAGTATTTTTTTGAGGTACAACTGATTTTGGGGAATCATTTCCTTGGGGGTGAAAATGAATTTTTTTAGCATATTTTTTATCTACCAGCCTTTCAGAAGCTTTCTCACACAATGCGACCCAGCCTATAAATTGTCTCTATAATAGAGTATTTTTTTGAGGTACAACTGATTTTGGGGAATCATTTCCTTGGGGGTGAAAATGAAAATTTTGGCATATTTTTTATCTGCCAGCCTTTCAGAAGCTTTCTCACACCATGCCACCTAGCCTATAAATAGTATCTATAATAGAGTATTTTTTTGAGGTACAACTGATTTTGGGGAATCATTTCCTTGGGGGTGAAAATGAATTTTTTTAGCATATTTTTGTCTGTCGGCCTTTCAGAAGCTTTCTCACACCATGCGACCCAGCCTATAAATTGTCTCTATGATAGAGTATTTTTTTGAGGTACAGCTGATTTTGGGGAATCATTTCCTTGGGGGTGAAAATGAATTTTTTACCATATTTTTTTATCTGCCAGCCTTTCAGAAGCTTTCTCACACCATGCGACCCAGACTATAAATTGTCTCTATAATAGAGTATTTTTTTGAGGTACAACTGATTTTGGGGAATCATTTCCTTGGGGGTGAAAATGAATTTTGTTGCATATTTATTTATCTGCCAGCCTTTCAGAAGCTTTCTCACACCATGCCACCTAGCCTATAAATAGTCTCTATAATAGAGTATTTTTTTGAGGTTCAACTGATTTTGGGGAATCATTTCCTTAGGGGTGAAAATGAATTTATTAGCATATTTTTCTATCTGCCAGCCTTTCAGAAGCTTTCTCACACCATGCCACCTAGCCGATAAATAGTCTCTATAATGGAGTATTTTTTTGAGGTACAACTGATTTTGGGGAATCATTTCCTTGGGGGTAAAAATGAATTTTTTTGCATATTTTTTTATCTGTCAGCCTTTCAGAAGCTTTCTCACATCATGCCACCTAGCCTATAAATTGTCTCTATAATGGAGTATTTTTTTGAGGTACAAGTGATTTTGGGGAATCATTTCCTTGGGGGTGAAAATGAATTTTTTTAGCATATTTTTTATCTGCCAGCCTTTCAGAAGCTTTCTCACACCATGCGACCCAGCCTATAAATTGTCTCTATAATAGAGTATTTTTTTGAGGTACAACTGATTTTGGGGAATCATTTCCTTGGGGGTAAAAATGAATTTTTTAGCATATTTTTTATCTGCCAGCCTTTCAGAAGCTTTCTCACACCATGCGACCCAGCCTATAAATTGTCTCTATAATAGAGTATTTTTTTGAGGTACAACTGATTTTGGGGAATCATTTCCTTGGGGGTGAAAATGATTTTTTTAGCATATTTTTTTATCTGCCAGCCTTTCAGAAGCTTTCTCACACCATGCCACCTAGCCCATGAATTGTCTCTGTAATAGAGTATTTTTTGAGATATAAATCATTTTGGGGAATCATTTTTTTGGGGGTGAAAATGAAGTTTTATTTATATTTTTTCATCTAGCACCCCTTTAGAGATTTTCTCAGTATATGCTATTTAGCTCATTAATTACTTTCAATACAGTAATCGGTAAGTGAAAATTCGAAGAAAGGTTTTGGGTTAACTCTTGTTCCTGCCAATTATTTAATTAGGGTGGAAAATGATTCTTCCTATAGGGGTGCTTATTCTCGTGCATATATATTTATTGTTGCGAGCTGTTAGCTGTATCCTTCACAATCACAGTCTGGTCGAGGATGTCGGCGCCACTGGTCATTCGGGTATCTTCGGCAAATTGTCCGCTAAATTTTGTCTGCCAACTTCACACCGGTAAAATATGCATGAAATGAGAAGCCCGTAGAAATTGCGTAACTACTTTGCACGATAATCACAATAAAATTTGCTGCGCAAGTAATTCAGTAGCCCTATATCACAGAGTAGAAGTTTATCATATACCTGTGTATGAAATTCACAATGGGCGATATGTAAGTAAAAAAGATGACTGCATGTGTTAGTTGTATATTCTTCACTTCGTCTATGTAATACATAAGAAATAGTTTGGTTGCAATAAAGTAGAATCACGTAACAGAATAGTTGTATAGTTGGCAAAACTGAATCTTGCACTGACGCAAATGTCCTAAAGCGGCTGCAAGAGGCTTACACTTTTGTTGTGTAACTGTTACCTGCAGCCCTTATACAACCTCTCAAATGACTGAAGTGTTCTATTAGGTGTGAACATTTCGCTTGTATAGCTGTTCTAAGAGGGTTTTGCCAATGTTCTTACAGTATACAATGCTGTGTAAGAAATACTGTATAATCATTTTTGCAACTCTAATAGGAGTGATAACTGTTAGTTGGGCCAGCTCTAGTGTCAAGGGGAGAGATTCCTTGATGTACGAAGATGTATCAAGTTTATGTAGGCCTTCATGGTGTTAAATGACACTCAAGATTTCATTGTTTTTACCAACACATCTACGAGTATAACGTCCAATGCTCGGTCCAACCGAACGACATCATCCAACCGTTCAACGTTCGGTCCGACAGGAACTTCAGATCAACGCTTGCTCTTTTATGTTTGAACCCAGTGATTGTGCGCAAGCACTATGATACAATTTCGGTAGCGTAGATGTTGTGGTGAAGAGCGGCATCAAGTAGATTGACTCAAATGCACGATAAGATACTTATTGTTTTAGGTCTGCTTGAAGTCACCTTCAGGAGGTTAAATTTGAAGTGTTTAATGTTTGGTCCGACAAAACGAAGCGTCGAGCTTTGTGGGTCAACTGAACTGTATTTGGAAAACGAAATGAAGTTGGAGATCGGCAAAACACGACCGCTCGTTCGCGCACACGCAGAATATACATTGGCGCACGCTTGATTTACAATTGAAAAACGGAGACATAACAGCAGAACCCCTGAAACTGGGCTTAATTGCTACGTGATGTTTGCAGAGTATTTAGGAAATTTGGCAATACCAAAATTTTTGTTTTTTTCTTGACAAGCATACTGGCGAGGAGGCGCTGTAATCGCGCCAAATTTCAAAATAAGATTATTTATTTCTTGGATGTTATATGACGTTTATATCACGAAAAACCATGTCACTCATTTTCTTCTATTTGTCTGTCTGTCCGCCTGTAACTTGGAAAGTACTGGTTGCACTTTGATGAAATTTTCACACAAGATTAGTACTACGCCAAGGACGAAAAGGTTGTTTAGTTTTGGAAAATCGGAGAATAAGGCTAAAAACGATAAAAATAAAAATGCTCAAATCTTGTTTTTTGACGTTTCTGATGATCCTGGTAATGTTTTAATCATTTTTTGGAGTTAAAAGATTGGGGGTGCGGGAGGGTGTATTGCAATTTTTTTATGTAGGTATACTAATACACTAACCCCGATAATTCTACTCACGTATTAGGAATATTTCAGACATCATAGATTGCCCCGTACATTGTCCCTTAACGCTTGGAACGCAGAAAAATGAATTCTAACAAGCGTCCCTGCGTCTGCTGACTTCAACGGTCGCGGCCGGCGTGCCGGTGTTTGTAAGTGTCCTGCGTGACTAGTGCTCTGTGGACGCTTTGTCGCGTGTGGTGCATCGTGCTTTCAGATACTGGGGAGAGGCGACGCGATGTTGCCAGATGGACGGTACTACGGGTAGGGAAGGCAGGGAAAGAATGATATCGGCCAATTGTGTTGACCTGTTTGACGGGCTTGATCCATTCAATTTCTCTGTTATATATGTTCGTCACCAGCTTGTTTCTTGGTCTAACTTAAGCTGGTTGCTTTTGTCCGTACAATCACAGAGACCCAACCACAGACAGCTGTTTCGTGTTTTTTTGGCGTATCATCAGTAAGGCCTAGGCTTGTTCTCTGGGACAACAATCGAAAGCATTGAAGCTATGTTTTATCCAAGACATATGGTGCTGTATTATTTCGATAGGGACTAACGTGTGCTGAACATAATGCTTTATGAATTGATCACGGCGTTGTGTGGGAAGTGAAGAGTTAATCTACTCGACGCGATTTTTAATATTGTTTTTGAGGTCGAAAATGACATATTTTGTTCTCTTCAATTATTGAATCGCTTATATCTGGAAAACTGCCAACTATAGAAAGAAGTCGATAAAAACCGTTTTTGCTCAAAATCCTATAAAGCTTGTACAGGACGATTTTTTTTGGAATCAGCTCCAAAAATCTTTAAACAATTCTTTACGCAATTTTTGGCAAGCCATCATGCAGATTCGATAATGGGTATCCCTTTTGAATCAGATTTTGCAAAGAAATCTATTCAAAATATTTTCCAGCAAATGCGAACATACTGCCTGGACCAAAGAGTCTAGTCAAGTACGTTTACTACTTTTATAAGCAAGCGTCCGACAGAGCTGGAAAGTCATGCTTACCTAATTCTAAAGGCCCTGCAACGCAAAATACGTTTTGACTGAACTAAATTCAGGCTTACCGAGTATCAAAGCAGGCGGTTCATTTCGTTTTCTTCGACCTTCTCTGCGATGCACTTTTCGGCAAGGAAGATGACCTTTGGCTTATAGCGGTTCGGCCGGTTACATGTTGCATGTGATGCCGTCGAATCACTGGTTCCTTGAAAAAAAAAAGATGCCGACTTATCATTGCGACATTATCGCAGCTATAAGTTATTATGCTTTCGGTAATGAACGAAGGAGAAAACGATTTGTTTAATCAGCGGCGCGACAGTCACGATTATTATAATATGGTTTTTATAATTACAGAAACGACACTACTAGGAACTAAGAAACGATGCCGTCAGCAAGGCAGATAAAAGCTTAGCGCCTCGTTACTCATTCCTTTTTCTGGTACGCACCTATTTCCTGCCGGAGTGCAATGTGACATTTGTTGGATATAAAGTTCGTATGTCACAATCAAATTGTTTATCCTATTTCTTTGACAAGAATAAGCCTATATGTACGATCATCAAGGCAACCCTTTTGTATGGAGTGGAAACCTGGGTAATTAATAAACTTAGAACGCGCTGAGAAAAATTGGATGTAAAACTGTCCAATAATGATACTGTGCATTCATCCGTTTTATTGTACAATAAATATGATGAAAATTTGATCGTGACATACAGGCTCAATGTTTTTGGAGCCTGAATCAAAAACTTTATAACGCTCCCCTATGAGTCGGGAATTCCGCTGAAGTGAGACAGCTGGTGATGATGCACGGTGCATCAATATTCTCAAAATACAAATTATCTCTACTTTAAGGTATCTGGAACTTTTGGCATCCTGGGACCAGAGTATCTAGGCGTTAATCAAAGGTTCTTTTGTGATTATACTTTATGAATTGTTGCGTTCATAATACAATTAATAACAGAGAAGTATCAACATAAAAATTTTGGACTAATGCAATTTCAAGAGCAGCTGTTACCTAAGGTAACGTTTGAAGCTGTGATCCTGTGGTTACTGTAGCTCGTGACACGGATCCTGTTGTTTTCATGTTCACAGGACTCCATTGTCCGAGCAAATAAATATGTTTTAGTTTATGTTTATCGTACGTCTCGGCCACGACGGTAATCTTTTTAAGTACAATCACAGTATATTTTTTCGGCCAGACAATGAAATTTTGATGTAATTCTGTGATTTTCATCCAAAAGCCCAGGCTCACCTGAGGTAGGCAAAAATGCCAGGCTGTTGTTGCGCTATTCTGTATAGTAGAGAAAAAACAAGTGAACTGCCACCTGTAAGATGGATAATATATAAAATATATTATGATTTGATCTTAGTTAGTAAAAAGTAATTTCTACATAGGTATCTATGTGATCTCGTTTTACCAGAATAACACGGAGTTTTATTTCTAACATTCAAATATACGAAGCAAGAGCGGAACCCTTATGACCTGCCATTTATGCAGTTGGTATTGTTATTTCAACTTCTCGCAACTGAAGGAGCTAAAAAACTAATGTTTGGCAATGGTATAACGCTCTGTACATTCAAAGAATATTTATGGTTGTGCTAGTGAGTGTAGACCAAACACAATCAGAAAGTAGTTGTGTTACTGCCGGTTCTTTAAGCATACATTCACAATTTATAAACTAGCTTTGAGGAACTCCAGCTGAAGGCTGGCAATCACTGAAAATGGTGGTAGCACACATTGGTGATACCGTGAGCATAATATGCTGACACCACGTGATCTTGCGACAGTATTTATAGCCTAGCAGACAGGGGACGCCACGATATCATACCGTGTGCAAAGATGCTGTCGTAAGCTGTCACCCAATTGTCACTCTAATTAGAGTTGCAAGAACGTTTATACATTGCATGCTTCAAGAACATTGGCAACACGTGCTTACAGTAGTTGTGCAAGGGAAATGGGGACACCTATAAGGACACTTCAATCACATAAGGTGTTTTACGAAGGCTGCACGTAACACTTATACAACAAATGTGTAAACACTATTTTTTTTTAACCTTTATTTCCATACAGACAATATATAATTGTATTGGAATTGTAAATTTTTCGTTCGCTACAAACCTACAACTAATCTCAAATGGCAATGTTCAAAAATTCATCAACACGATAAAAGCACTTGTTTATCAAAAATTGCTTCAACAGGAACTTAAATTCGTTAATATTTTTAACCGAGGTAATGTGGCATGGTAAATTATTAAAAAGAAGCGGACCAATTTTATAAGGTGATAACAATGCATATCACAATTCCGCTTGAATTTTTCATTATTTTTAAAAACATGTAAACACAATTTTTTGCAACTTTCTGTTGGTGAGATGCCTGCTAATGATCGGATGCATCTTTTTTGAGACACAAATACATCTTCAGAGCGCGTTGACCAACCCCAGAAACATACTCTATATCTTAATCTCGAATCCACATTAGCAAAATAAACTTGTATCAACACATAGCTTTGAGAGTACATTTGTGATGTGAGAAATTCGCAGTTGGCCTTCCAATTTAAGTTCGAATCAAAATGAACTCCAAGAAATTTCAGTTCTCCTCTAAAATCGAGTTGATCGTCACCCAATCTAACTTGAAACCCTTCTACAGTTTTTTGAGCATGATGAAAATGAATAAGGGTTGTTTTGGGAGGATTCAAGTAAAGTGAGTACTGGTTAAACCATGTATTGATATTCCTAATTAAGTTGTTACATTTATCTTCCAAAATTATATTTGAATTACTCGATATTATCGCAGAAACGTCATCAGCATATGCTGTAAAATGGGTATCTGGATGATCATTATCAAACCGATTAATGTATAAGAGGAAAAAGATTGGTCCAAGAATAGAGCCCTGAGGGACTCCAGTCGAGATGTCTAACGTACTTGACACAAAGTTTTTCATATTGTTCCCTGCATCACGATATTCTACTGAAACATATTGTTTTCTTTGGACTAAAAACGATCTGGCCCATTTAAGAGACTGACCGACAAAACCATATTTAACAACAATCTCCAAGAATTTGTTGTGATCAACGCAGTCGAATGCCCTACTGAGATCACAAAATACCCCAGTAGGGCACTCGCCCGCTTCGATGTATTCTATAAGCTTCTCATAAAAGGAATGTATGGCTGACATTGTGGTGTTACCATCTGTGAAACCATGCTGGTTTTGAGACAAAATATTGTTGTTCTTAAGATGTAGAAGAAGTCTATCCAAATAGGCATATTCAAACACTTTAGAAAGTATAGACGGCACAGTGATTGCCCTGTAGTTTGTAATATCAAGCTCGTTCCCCTTTTTTAG